GAAGGAGGAAGTCCACGGTGCATTGAAGGAATTGGCAAAGGTCAAGGCACCAAGAATTGATGGAATGAAAATTGAAATCTTTCAAGAAAGTGAGGCGGCACTGGTAGCACTCAGTCATCTATGCCAAGAAATTTGGAAGACAACTATCTGGCCAATTGATTGGAAGAGACCCATATTTGTAACCATTCCAAAGAGATTTGACCCAACAGAATGTGAAAATCATCGGACAAGTCAGCCATATCTCTTATAAATCCTGTCATCATGAACTGAAATTCAATTACTTTGATAAAAGTATAATAAAGAGCAAGAAAATATGTCATTCAGAATGTACCTTTGCATAGTTTCTATAAATTTGAAAGGTTAAAAATAGCTTGTTTTTTGATAGCTAAATGACAAAATTAGCACCTGAAGGTCAGCAGTTTAAACCCTTCATCTGCGTCCTGGGAGAAAGACTGAGGCGTTCTGCTCTCATTAAGATTTACAGCTTTGGAGACACTACAAAAGGTTGCTAAGAGTCAGGATCCACTTGATGGTAGTGGCCAGAACCAATTTTTACAACTCAGCCATTTCTGCTTATTACAGTCAGATTAGCTTTGTTAATAAAACTTTTTTTCAGATGAAGAAAATATTTTTAGGGAAAAATATCTTCTCATCTACAAATCTTCTGCACAAGACCTCTTTAAAATATTCAAGAACATAGTTGTCAGTTTGAGGTTTAGAGTGTGCCTGACCCAAGCCATGGTATTTTACGATAGCCTCATATGCATGTTGGGCAATAAATAAGGAAGACCATAGAAGAATGGATGCATTTGAGTTACGGTGTTGGAGGAGAATATTAAAAGTACCATGGAATGCCAGAAGAACAAACAAATCTGTGTTGGAAGAAGTACATCCAGAAAGTGCCTTAGAAGCCAAGATGACCAGACTTAGTCTCTCATACTTTAGATGTATTATCAGGAGGGACAAGTCACTGGAGAAAGTCATCATGCTTGTTAAGTGGAGGGTCAGTGCTAAAGAGGAAGACTACCAATGAAATGGATTGGTACCGTGGCAATAGCAATAAGCTCAAATGTAATAACAAATAAGAAGTTGGCACAGGACCAGGCAGTATTTCATTCTGTTGTGCACAGGGTCACTATGAGTTAGAACTGACTCACCTGCACCTAACAACAACATTAGGATTCCCACTGGCCAGAGTTGACAAAGGATAGTGACTCCAGTAAACCGAAACACCCCAACTTATTAAAAGTACGTTTATTAAATAATACTTTAAAACTAGAATACTGACGGAAAAACAGAAATTAAAAAAGCAGAGGGAGAGTCCATCAACTCTATATTCTTAAGAATGAATAATGAAGCATTGAACTTATTTTCCTAGTAGGAATTACATACTACAATACAACAAAATAGCTTGGGCTAATGAGGAATAAATGTCTGCCAATACATGTACAAGGAATTAGATAGGTAGAAAATCACAATTTTTGCCACTTCTAGTGAAAGTAAGGAGCTCTTGTGTGGTGCTGCGGGTTCATTCGCTAGACTGCAATGTTGGTTTGAAATGCAAGGCCGGCGGTTCAAGCTCACCAACTGCTTCTTGGAAACATTATGCAGGGTCACTATGAGTAGGAACCAACTTAACAAGAAGCACAGCAAATGAAATCATTGAAACAGGCAACAATCATTGAATGCTAAAGTTTTTTGAAAGGCTGACATAAAACTGGTCACACTGCCTGGCATCAATATTTCGACAGTTGATGAAATCACTTAATGACAGTATTTAATCATGAAGCACATGACAACTATACATCATGTTTCATGAAGTCATATGTGGAACACTTATGAAGTATTCTTGCCAAAATGTTTAATTCAAATCTAATGAAGGCTTCAAAGCTGTTTTAGTAAATACCAGGAATAGAGAAACAAGTTAAAAAACACCAGGAAAGTATCAGACAAATGTCTATAAATTTTGCTAGTTGTGATGTGGCAGTGTAAAATAAGTACTGGACTGCTAACTACAAGTTCAGTTCAAACCCACCAGCCACTCTTTGGAAACCCTATACAGGGTCACCATGAGTTGGGCACTATGACTCAATGGTACTTAGCATAAAACAACAAAAACACAGCTTAAGTTTTTAGAAATGTACACTAAAATATTTGGGGAATAGGTGTCTGCAATTTAAATATCCTATAAAAAATGATGAAGCAATTATGGTGAAATATTAATAAAAGTTTACTGTAACCCAGGTGATGAGTGTTTATGACACTATCCTCTCTGCAGTATATTTGAAAATTTTTATACTTATAACAAAAATCAACAATAAAAAAATCAGCTATACCTTAAATCTTTGCAAGCGTCCAATTTTTTCACAAACATCTGCTTCCATTGACATCAAATCGCTCTTTTGTTTTCCATTTTCTTTTCTAAGTTGTCGTTCCATTTCTACTAAAGTTGTATATTGCCTTATGAGTGACTTTTCATTTACTTGCAATACTGTGATTTTTCTACTGTTTTCTGAAAGTATTTTTTTCATTTCGTCTGAATCCACCTGAAGAGCATTCAGTAAATTCTGCCAAAGACATATTTATATTAGTTGTTGAACCTAGTTCTCTGCGTTTGGACAGTATTACATATTGACCTTAAAAGTGTTTTATTTACATTATATTCTTTTACTTTTACAGCATCTTGTTGGATTTGGTCTTCAAGTTTTCTCTTTTCCTCTTTTATTGTTTCAGACTCTGTTTTCCATGCCTCCTTTTCACTTTGAAAACAAAACCAATACAATAAACTTACAAAATGTTTTAATTACAGAAAGAGATAACTATAGATTATGGACATTTAAAGTCTTCTTAAAACAACAGGCACATCATAACTACTAAGTAGCTAATGACATGAGACATCAAAATTTCATTCAAAGGGATAACAGTTAAAACGGAATCATACAAACATTTTATAAAATAGATTAGGGAAATAATCAGTATTTAAAACTAATTTTGGAAATTAAGTATCAACAATATTTTAAATATATTTAGAATACAAACAAAAGTAGAAATAATTATAGTTAAAAGAGGGTGTGGGAGATATCCCTGACTACTAAAGAGACTGTGCACATTGCCTCCAATTGCTTGGCAGAAACCAACTACTGTGGCGTCATTCTCCTTGTCATTAAATGGTTCAGAGTTGGATATGGGACGCAATGGTTAATGAGAATAGGAGTCAAAATTGACTGGAAATCCCTGCAGACTGTTGTTTTTCGAGTGCCGTCAAGTCAGTTGTGATTCATAGTGACCCTGCATAAGGTTTCTGAGGAACAGCTAGTAAATGTGAACTGCTGACCCTCTATAGTTAGCAGTCCAGTACTTATTCTACAGAACCAGAAACATATATATATATATTTATATTGTTTATATATATATTTATATTAAAAATATATACATATTTAACCTATATTTTGTTGGTGTTGTTAAGTGCCGTGGAGTCGGTTCCGACCCATAGCGACCCTGAACAGGGTTTCCAAGGCTGTAAATCTTTATGGGAGCAGAAAGCCTCATCTTTCTCCTGCAGCACAGCCAGTAGTTTCGAACTGCTGACCTTGTGGTTTGCAGCCCGATTCGTAACCACTACGATACCAGAGCTCCTTAACCTATATATTTGATGTGGGAAAATATATGGCTCTGTCTACTTTGAACTCTTTCAATTATTGTATAACCATAGTACGAGATAATGACAACCCCTACTCTAACCTGTGGTTTCACTGTGAGTTGGAGTTCATTCCATCTAGAATAAGTTAGAAAAATAAAAGTATGACCTACCACTGGAGTCCTGGTGTAATGCTGTGGGTTAATGTACTAGACTGCAAGGCCGTTTGAACTACAAGGTCAGTGGTTCAAGCTCACCAGCTGCTCCTCGGAAACCCTATACAGGGTCGCTATAGGTTGGAACCGACTTGACGGCACTTCACAACAACAACAACCATAGAGCTACAATGGCCTACTATATAATAAGCTAGAAAAATAAAAGTATGACCTACCATAGAACGCAGACAGTGCAGTGGGTCCATATAATAAGCACTGGACTGCCAACCACAAGTTCGGTGGTTCAAACCCACCGGCTGCTCAGTGGGAGAAAAATGAGACTTTCTACTGCCTCAAAATGTACAGCCTCAGAAACCCTATACAGGGTCACTAGGAACCAGAACCGACTCAATGGCACATAACAACAATCATGTAACTCTGAAAATGTACTAGTTTTGGCTTCTTATATAGCAGGTAATATTCACCTTTAGTATTTAAATTACCTTTGATCTGGTATTCAGATACATACTAAGGAAATGATTCCATTGATATAGATAACTTCTAAAATTAAAGGACCAGAGATAAGGAGAAACATGCCTATGACTATATAAACAATGAAGATAATGGATGATGCTAATAATACGTGATATTTAAAAGCATTACATGCCATGTACTACAGTTTTCATGTAATAATTAACTTAAATTGGGTAACAACTTTATACACAAGGCATTACATCAAGGAATTTTACATATACGAAACTGAAGTAAACATAGCTAAAACAACTTGCCCAATGTCGCCTAGTTTCCAAATTGTAATGTCTGAATTCAAACCCAGGTAGAACAATTCTAGAGAAGGAAAGGGCTTGTAATAATTAAATTACAGCATGATCTAAAAATCTGCCATTGATAAATCGTCAGCTTCGCAAAAAAATAGAGTAGAGGGTCAAGGCAGAAGGGAAAAAGTGAAAAACTATCTAAAAAGCTTATGATTTTCATCACAAACAAGTTATATTTATAAAGTTTCACTATACCTTAGATATTCTTTATATAATAAGCTTTGCTGGTGACGAATAACTGCAAATTTTCTATTATATTCTTCAAGAGACTCCTCTAAATTATTTAACTTCTTTTCTTTATTCTCTATTTCCTAAAATTTTGAAAATAAAATAAAAATGAAAAAAGAATTAAAATACATTTTAAAATACATTTATGAGGGTAAGTAAAAAAGTACTGCTGCAAGAGTTCCAGTTTATGTATACATGGATTTATTCCAAATAGTATGTATTTAAATATGTCTCTGCAATCAGTGGATGGCTAGAGACAAGTTTTTTTCAGTAACTTATCTTAGTCTCATTAGAGTGTTGTGAAAAACAACAACAACAACAACAAAAAAAAAACAGGTCCAATCAATAGGATCTGCTAGGCCCGAGAGGGCAGAGAATTCAGCATAGAAGATTATGGGAAGTGGTTTTTCTGGGGACTCTAAAGGGATAATCCTGAGATTTTCTCAAAGCGCAGAAGGTCTAAGAAGATGGAGAAC